GGAAGGAAATAATAAACCACGTACAAACTTCCTAGCAAAGTTCTGGTCAAAGTCACTCATTTTCAGAACTTCCTGGTAGGCTGCTGTGCGCTGCTGGCTGCCCCTCCCCAGACACCCCAGGACAGACAGAGGTCTGCAGGGCTGGGTCCTCCACCCAGCTCCTTTGAGAAGTCCCACTGGACATGGGGCTGAGCCTGCTGCTCCTGCACAGAATCCTGGCAGCTGCCAGCAGAGGGAGCTCCGGAGAGGCACAGTCACCCTGGGGCAAGCACCCAGCATGGAGGAGGAAGGAAGCCCACTGGCAGGAAGTGACTGCATTTTCTCATTGAGGAGCACAAAGGTGCCACCCGCAGCCCACACAGTGCCAAGGAGGGAGGAATGACTGCCAAGTGCTCAAAGCAGACTGCTGTCAAAAACAGCACGAGGACAGTGTGACCCGGGTTTGCAGAGGCTTTGCCCTCCACCTTCATTAAGATCAAGGAAGCACTGGGTCCATACTTGCAGCCTAGAAGTCAAAGGCTGGGGGATATTTAGAGACATGTCCCATGGTACTCAGGTTGGTGAAACACTGTATCACCAACATGAGTACCACGGTCAGAGGAACATGAGCTCACCAACATGAGTGTATCAAGGTCAGATACTGACTTTTACAAGTTGGAAATGTTCTGTGTCTACACAAGGAAGATGACATGACATCACCAAACTCCACTCAGTGTCAAGGACAGACAGGACTAGAACAGCAGCTCTCATTACTAAGGACTGCTGCAGTGCTCGGAATCCAGTAATTCTCCTTTCTAAGCCAGTTACAAACCTATCATATTTAAGTTTCACTTATTAGCTTTGATTTATAGTAAAAGCCACCATTTACGTTAAAAAGTAGAAAAAATACAGCCTAACAAACCCCCCATATCAGTAAATAACCAGCCTCTTCCTTCCCTTTCACAGTTTCCTGGCATTCAGCTGTCTGGATGGACCACAGTCTAATCTGCCAATTTCCTACTGATGGATATGTGGGTTGTTTTCATCTCTTGCTGTTACAAATAATGCTGCAATAAATCATTTTTGGCGCATATGAATCATTTTATATTTTTGCCAGTGAGTCTTTGGGACAGATTTCTAAAAGTAGGATTTCTGAGTCAAATAGCAAAGACTTGTATATAATTGAGCTAAGTATTGCCAAATTCCCCACCGTTCATGTTATAGCATTTCACTAGGCAATACATATAAGGATCCCTGAGCTTCAGCAACACAGTGTACTGAAAAACTTTTGAATTTTTGCCCATTTAATAGATGCTAAATAGATGTTCATTATAGGTTTAACTCATTAAGTCCTCTTCCTTTCTTTCCTTTTCAAGACACTTTTGTTTTTCCTAAAGTTAAATTATTTAATGTTTTCTCTAAATTTTAATTTATCAGTGTTTTTCCCTCATCACATACGGCTTCTGAGTCACAGGGAAGTGTTTCCGACTCTCAGTTTACAGACAAATTCACACATACTTTCTGCTCCCACTTACATTTGTACATTTACATTTCTGAGCCATGTTATTGCTTTCCTACTTTACATTGTGCAAACACACATTTTATCTTTCTGGCTATTCAATGATTCTGATTCCAGACCAGACAGAGTGGCTCACACCTGTACCTCAGCACTCTGGGAGGGTGAGGTGGGAGGATCCCCTGAGCACAGGAGTTTGAGACCAGCATGAGCAAGAGTGAGACCCCATATCTACTAAAGTAGAAAAATTCGCTGGCATTGAGCAGGCACCTGTAGTCCCAGCTACTTGGGAGGCTGAGACAAGAGCATCACTTGAGCCCAGGAGTTTTAGGTTGCTATGAGCTGTGATGACACCACGGCACTGATTCCAATTCCACTCGTAAGTTTATCTCCCTCCACTGATTTGCTATGTTGACTACACTGTATGCCATATTTCCATATCTAATTAGTGCTGGATTTTCTATTCCTTCATTGAGCTGCCTATAAATATTTGTTTTAATTAGACAGTGTTAAAATCTGTTTTAAAAACTGGAAAGGCTTACCCACCCTTCATGTTTGTTAGGGATTTCCTGGCCAGTCTTGCTTATTTTTCCAAGTAAATTTTTATAATCAACTTACTTAGCTCTGAAACAAAACCTGATCAAAATTTTGGTATATATACACAATGGGATGTTATTCAGCCTTTCAAAAAAGAAGGAAACCCTGTCATTTGTCTGATAACACAGATGAATCCAGAGGACATGACATTAACACACAATGCAGGATGTCATATGTAAAATCTAAAAAAGTTCATCTCACAAAAGTAAAGAGTAGAAGAGGGATTATCAGAGGCTGGAGAGGGGAGAGGGGGCCGGGAGGGACAATGTTACAGAATGTTACAGTTAAGAGCAAACCCACTGATGCTCCATGACACAGTGGTGTGACTACAGTTAATAATAATGTTAACAATAATGTGCTGTTTATTTGAACGTTTCTTCCACAAAGAAATGACAAATGTTTGAACTGATGGTTTTGTTAACGGCCCTGATATTGGGGGGGGGGGGTGTATATACATATATATGTATGTATATATATGTATATGTGTGTTCCAACATCATACTGTACCCTATAAATACATACATTTATTAAATATGGATTAAAAATAAAACTTAAGAATCTTTTTTAAAAATTCATTGCCAAACCCCCTGTGATTAAAAGAGTAATGAATATAACTGTCATTTGAAAAATCTTAATACAGCATTTTTCTTGTACCTTCCAGAAGTGGGTAACTTCAATGTAATTTTTTAAGAAACAAATTACTTTCTAAGTCAAATGGCTCCCAAAGTTTAGATATTGACAGATTTGAAAGATAATCTCAGTACATTAGATCCTTTATCTATATAAGGGATCATTCAAAATAATTTTTGATGATAGGTCACTGTAATTTTTGGCATGTTATCCAGAAAAGTTAAAAGAATTGAACGGCACTTCCATAACAGAATTTCCCATTCTTATATACTGTTCATTTAAAATGTTTACTGGGCACTTGCATCAATAAAAATGGTGAGAGGCACAGAGTTAATGTCAATAACTAGTTTTGACAATGTCAATTTCTAGTTTTGTCCATAAGTCATGTTCATCAATAAATACATGGCATAAATGAAAAAAAATGCCTTTAATATTAAGAAATGACTTCAAGAAAAATTTATTTTTCCTATTTAATAATTATATATGAATAATTATAATATATTTACATTGTTTTGATTTACTTGGCAATTGTCCAGAAGAATATTTTCTTACAAGTATATGATCAGGTAAAGTTAAAAAAAGAGATATTTTTATACTATATCATATTTTATTTCACGTCTTTCTTAAAGATTTTTAAAACATAAAATATGTATTAATAGAATAAAATTTTACATGGGGACTGGCATGGAAATGTGAATTCAAGAAAAAAAGTGGTAACACAAAATTTCTTACTAATACAGAAGAAGTTGCCCATGTAATTTTTAAAAGATGACAGTATTTATTAGATACATTTAAAATGTCAATATTTATAAGATGCAATGAATTATATTCTTTCAAGTATTTAAAACTATGAAGAAACTTTATCCATGCCAGCTTTGAAATAAGAGGGCATAATAATCTAAAGCTCCATGAGCAGGGTCCCATGAGCAGAGAGCAGTCACAGAGTCTTGTGAGAGACTGAAAGCTCTGGGCTGGACTACAGGGCTGTGTGGCTCCAACACCGGGCTACTCCTTATAATGTAGGAAGATAATATCAAGAACTGTAAATTCAATTAACTTCATGCAGGATTCTTGTAATCATGCAGACTGGTGAAGAGAAAAGGAGAAACTAAAAGATTCCACATACTGCAAAAGTAGTAAGGGGAACTATTCAGGAAAGAGAAGTTATACACGGCTTCTGAATCTATCCAGCCTGTAAGAGACCAAGCTAATCAGTAACGTCGCGACCTAAAAGGTCATGAGAAGCAGTAAGAACTTCCAGTCAGTTAGCAGAAGCACCTGCTGGCTGTTAGTACTCACGTTCAAACCCCTTCCCGACACTGACTTTGGAATGTCCTCATCACTGTCTGCGACCGACAGCCCAAGCTGCTCAGCCTGGAACACAAGCACGCAAGCCACCATCAGCTCCAGGGGAAAGGAAGTTCTAACAGAAAAGGCTGTCCTTAGCAATCATTAGTGCAAAAACTGCCAGTGTGGTCAGATTTCAGGGTAGCACACTCTTCACTAAATAGCTGTAATCCCTGCCACCGCTCTCAGCTTATGAATAATCTCCAACCAAGTGCTCCTTGATTTAAAAACCATAATTTTGAAATCTACTGTCAAGGGAATGAGTCTTCTTTTTCCCAAAACCATCTCTTTAGCTTGGAAAATACGCAAGAAGTATCACGTGAGGCCAGGAGTTTGAGACCAGTCTGGGTGACAGAGTGAGACTCTATCTCTACAAAAAATTTTTAAAAGTTAGCAGGGTGCAAAAGGCACACACCTGCAGTCCTCTCACCCTGTATTTGGGAGGTTGAAACAGGAGGATGGCTTGAGCCCAGGAGTTTGAGGCCAGTGAGCTATGCTCATACCACTATATTCCAGCCTGGGTGACAAAGCAAGACTCTGTCTTTATAAAATAAAAACCAAACAATAGTTGCCTGAACTGATGGGGTTAGGTCTACAAACCAATTAATTAAGTTTTGAGGATTTCTAAGTTTTAATCACTGCCTAACCAAGTGATTGGGTGTACACAGAAATAATTCACCAAATATCTCCTGCTTATCCATAAAAGAAAAACAGTACCATACTGCTAGCCACATATCTCCTGGGTGTAACTGGAAAAATTTAATTCCTGGGCCCCAATATGGCCTCCCAAATGATAATCTTTGGGGATATGACTCCAAAATCTAATTTTTAAACTAAGCCTAAAGATGATTCCTGGGTACTTGTGTAATGAGGATAATGTCAAAATGATACAAAACTATACTGAATGCTTTAAAAACACCAAAAAAAATAGCTTTAAAACAAAAAAATTTGCTGTCATTTACTTCAGCTAAAATGATATCCCTTTATAAAAAAGTATGTTCTCTATTGAGGTTGTGTATACACACATTCACACACATACACACAAATACATGTATTTTTTTTCCTTTAAATACAATTTAGAGTCACTTTAATTTTAAATGACTCAATAATTCTCCATTCTTAGTGTCTGTTCACTGAGACATTTGCAAATAATTTTTAAAATGTTTTCTAAAATAATTTCTAAAATTTGAAAATAATTTTTAAAATGATTTCTAAAATCCTTTGATGCCAGCTATTGGAGCAAATGCCTCAGTGAATGGAGAATTATCACTCCCAATGCAAGGGCACACTGGAGGGGTGTATGGAACCCTTTTAAATGTGTGACACAACCACAAGAGGGACGTTACCTAACAAATTCAAATATTGTGACCTCGTTGTTTGTACTCTCAAATTAACCTGAAATAAAAAAGAAATCATTTTAGGGGAGGGATTAAAGATGGCAGCCAACTAACAGCTTCATTGCAACTGGGCACGGTGAGTCTGGGGAGTGGAGACTACAGGCATCTCTGGCTGGTGGGATCAGCCCAGAAATATCCCTTTGGAGACACAGGGAGTCAGTGAGGGACTTCTGGACCCCACAAGGAGGACAAAAGCAGTGGAGATCTGGACTCATCGAAACCCTAGTCCAGAGGCATGGGAACTTAAAGAGCAAGAGGAAATGATAGGAAAATTAGGACAAAGAAGCAGATAAATCACTCGTGAAGAAGAACCAGCAGAAAAATCCTGGCAACATGAAAAGCCAGTCCAGAGCAACCTCCCTCCTCCCCAGGGGACTGTGAGGTAGCTACTGCAGAGGATTCCACCTATAAACAAATGTTAGAAATGGTAAAAAGGGAATTTAGAATACAGATGATGAAAACAATGAAGGAAATGATGGAAAACAAGCAAAAGGAAATCCAAAAACAGAATCAAGTAAGAGATGAACGATATGAAGAAAATAGAAAGGATATAGCAGAGCTCAAGGAACTGAGGTAGTCAATTAGGGAATTTAAAGATACAATAGAAAGTATCAACAACAGATTAGACCATGCAGAAGAAAGAATCTCAGAGGTAGAGGAAAAGCTCTTGAGATATTTCACATTGTTAAAAAGGCAAAAAAGAAAAGAGAGAAAGCAGAATGTTTCCCATCAGAATTGTGGGACTATATGAAGCATTCAAACATACGAGTTATAGGTATCCCAGAAGGGGAAGAAGAATGCCCCAGGGGAATGGAAGCCATACTTGAGAATATTGTAAATGAAAATTTCCCAAATATCACCAAAGATTCTGCCACATTCCTTTCAGAGGGATATTAGAACCCAGGGCGCCTCAACTCTAACTGAGCTTTACCAAGACACATTCTGATGAACCCGTCCAAAGACAAGACAAAAGAAAAGATTCTTCAAGCTGCCAGGAATAAGCGCCAATGGACCTACAGGGGCAAATCCATCAGGGTGACTGTAGACTTTGCTAATGAAACTTCTTAAGCCAGAAGACAATAGTCATCTACCTTTAATCTACTTAAACAGAACAATTTCCAGCCCAGAATTCTATATCCTGCTAAGCTAAGTTTACAAAATTGACAGAGAAATCAAATCATTTACTGATATACAAACATTGAGGAAATTTGCCTCAATAAGACCAGCTCTCCAGGAAATACTTCAACCCATTCTATACACTGACCATCACAATGGATCAACAGCAAAGTAAGAACTTAGAAATTAAAGGACAGAACATAATGTCCACAATGATGCAAAAGATAAACTAAGCAATGGACTCTCACAAAATAAGATGAATAGAACACTACCACACTTATCAATTATCTCAATAAATGTCCATGGCTTGAATTCCCCAATGAAGAGGCAGAGATTGGCTGACTGGATTAAAAAACACAAGCCATCCATTTGCTGTCTGCAGGAAACACCAAGTTTCAAAAGACAAATTAAAACTCTGAGTTAGGGTTGGAAGACAATTTTTCAAGCAAATAGAATTCAGAAGAAAAGAGGAGTTGCAATCTTATTTTCAGATGCATGTGAATTTAAAGCAACTAAAGTCAAAAAAGACAAAGATGGTCACCTTATATTGGTCAAGGGAAAAATACAACAAGAAGACATTTCAACTCTAAATAGTTATGCACCCAATTTAAATGCTCCCAGATTCGTGAAACAGACATTACTCAGTCTGACCAATATAATATCCTATAATACCATAATAACAGAGGACTTTAATACTCCTCTTACAAAGTTGGACAGATCCTCTAAACAGAAATTAAACAAAGATATAAGGGACTTAAATGAGACGCTAGAGCAACTGTGCTTGATAGACTCACATAGAGCACTCCATCCCAAAGATAAAGAATATACATTCTTCTCATCACCCCAGGGAACATTCTCCAAAATTGATCATATCCTAGGACACAAAACAAACCTCAATAGAATCATAAGAATTGAAATTTTACCTCGTATCTTCTCAGACCACAAGCAATAAAGGTGGAACTCAACTCCAACAAAAATGCTCAACCCCACACAAAGGCATGGAAATTAACCTCCTGTTGAATGACAGTTGGGTACAGGAAGAAATAAAAGAGGAAATCATTAACTTCCTTAAGCACAACAACAATGAAGACACAGCTACCAAAGCCTGTGGAATACTGCAAAAGCAATTTTGAGATGAAAATTTATCACTTTAGATGCTTACATTTGAAAAACAGAAAGAGAGCACATCAACAAACTCACAAGCCATCTTAGGGAATTGGAAAAAGAAGAACAATCTAAGCCTAAACTCAGTAGAAGAAAAGAAATACGCAAAATTAAATCAGAGATCAATGAAATTGAAAAGAAAAGAATCATTCAGAAAATTAATGAAACAAGGAGTTGGTTTTTTGAAAAAATAAATAACATAGATAAACCTTCAGCCAGACTAACTAAAAATAAAAAAGTGAAATCTCTAGTAACCTCAATCAGAAATGATAAAGGGGAAATGACAACTGATACCACAGAGATACAAGAGATTATCTCTGAATACTACCAGAAACTCTATGCTCTGAAATTTGACAATGTGAAGGAAATGGATCAACATTTGGAATCACACTCTCTCCCTAGACTTAGCCAGGAAGAAATAGAGATCATGAACAGGCCAATTTCAAGCACTGAAATTAAAGAAACAATAAAAAGTCTTCCAACAAAAATATGCCCTGGTCCAGATGGCTTCACACAGAATTCTATCAAACCTTTAAGGAAGAGCTTATTCCCGTACTCTAGAAATTATTCAAAAAATTGAGGAAGAAGGAATCTTACCCAACACCTTCTATGAAGCAAACATCACCCTGATACCAAAACCAGAAAAAGAGCCAACTAAAAAGGAGAACTTCAGACCAATTTCACTAATGAATATAGATGCAAAAATTCTCAACAAAATACTAGCCAATTGATTACAACTTATCATCAAAAAAATCACACATCATGATCAAGTAGGTTTCACCCCAGGGATATAAGGCTGGTTTAATCTACGCAAGTCTACAAACATTATTCACTGTATCAACAGAAGTAAAACCAAAGACTACATGATCCTCTCAATAGATGCAGAAAAAGCATTCGATAAAATCCAGCATCCTTTTCTAGTTAGAACACTGAAGAGTATAGGCATACAGGACACATTTCTGAAACTGATAGAAGCTATCTATGACAAACCCACAGCTAATATTTTACTGAATGGAGTAAAACTGAAAGCTCTTCCTCTCCAAACTGGACCCAGACAAGGTTGTCCTCTGTCACCATTACTATTCAACGTAGTATTGGAAGTTCTAGCCAATATAATTAGGCAAGACAAGGAAATAAAGGTCATCCAAATGGGAGCAAAGGAGGTCAAACTCTCTCTTTTTGCTGACGATATGATCTTATACTTAGAGAACCCCAAAGACTCAACCACAAGACCCCTGGAAGTCATCAAAAAATTCAGTAATGTTTCAGGATATAAAATCAATGTCCACAAGTCAGTTGCCTTTGTATATGCCAATAACAGCCAAGATGAGCAGCTAATTAAGGACACAA